TCTGCAGCAAACCCAGTCAATGCCACACTACGGCAAGGATACCCGCCGCTGCCACCACATTCAAACTACCGCCATCCGCCGTGGGGCAACCTACCCTGCGTCCGGAAAAAATTTTTTGCAGATCGTGTACGAGGTGAGTTTTAGTTGCAGCTTGTTGTGACGGCCCAATGATGTATGGTTGCTTGTGCGCGTATGGTATATGTGTTTTTGTGTGCAACTGCGCGTCTCTCCAGGTGTTTCAGCTCGGCCAACAAGTAAACTGCGGCGCTAGAATTTTGCCAGTGGTTCCCCGGCGAGAGCGCTACCGCAGCATCACGGTACCAATCTTACCACACGTCTGATCCCTGCGCACGAGCAAGTAAAATTTTGGCGGAAAACCCACCAACTCAGGAACCAGAAAAGCTGGGAGGCTAAAATCTTAAGAGAATGTTCCATGTCTACGTAAACTTAAAGATTTCAAATTCAGCACTCAGGCGCGCGTGGTATTCACGTATGGGGGCGCGAAATTTCTGACGGGGAAATCGTTAATTCGGGAATCAGAAAAGCTGGAAAGCCGAAATTCCACGAAATGTTTCCTGCTCAAGTAAAGTTGAAAAATTTCAAATTGAACCTTCATTATGCGCGTTTCTCACGCAACTTAAAGATTTTAGCGGGGAAAACTCTCGGAACAGTTCATTTTCAAAAAAGACCGACAGACTAGAATTGTTCACTTCCTTATGTGCAAAACTTACGTTGGTTTACGCTGGTAAGCGCACAAGATAAATGTGAGAACTACTAAATCTCGGCTCGGCCGTTACTCGTTAACGTGGTGTCGCTTGCCGGCATCACCTAATGCTTTGCCAGGAGCGCTGGGCAACACGGCGGCTGAAACGCATGGTTGGGGTAGGAGGGGACCCGGGAGGCGGGACGGGGGGGAGGGGGTGGGGGATTGACGTGGTTGGAGGGTAGTGGTGAGTGAGTGCTCAGACGCAGCTTCGGGGACATGGATTGGGACAGAATGGAAAAGAGGAACAAGGGCGCTAGTAAGCAATTCGGAACGGTCAATGGTGACAGTGGTTGGGGTGGTGGGTAATGGGTGCCCAAATGCCGCTATGGAGGCAGGATTTGGGGTAGGGTAAAGAAGGGAGCCAGGGTACTAGTCAGGAGTTCGAGGAAATAGTAGTAAAGAGGAAAGGACAACACAGCAGTACAAAAATAATTGGCCAACGCACGGGCTGTCCGTGCGAAGATGCGTTTTTTGTAGAGTTCCCCGCAGTTTTTTGTCGCAACCGGCATCGGGTTTTGCGGCAAATGCTTCAAGCTAAACAAATTAAGACTGGCTGCCAGAACCACTTAAGGGAAAGGGAAATGCGTAATGGGTTGAAAGGAAGGAATCATAGTGTTGCTCGGGCTATCATAGTGTTGCCTGGACACTCCCACAACGCCAAGCGCAGTTATTCAGGCCTTCGATCCTGGGCTGCATACCTCTAGCAGCCTGTTTCATGTATCTACGCCACTTCTTCCGGGCTCATTTCAGTGATCGTTTACTTTCTCGTGGGTGCTAATTCACTAGTGCACGACGTCCGCCGGTTGTCGCTAAGGCGAGCAACACATATTCTCCCATCGGATTTTATTTTATCGATTTGTCATAACGACATCACGCCTGGCTTCCGTTGCTCTATCGCTCTCTTCGTCACAGCAAGCGCTCGCTCTTCAGCTTTCATGGGTAACTGATTTAGTTGCCTGCCAAAAATCATCAGACTATCTTCCCAAAGCAGTTTCTGAAATACTTTTTCAAGATAAATCGTAAAAAATTTAGGTGACATGGGACAGGAAACCGAAGGAACTCAAATAAATAACCTAAAGGAACCTAAATAAATAACCTAAAAAATTTTTGCATAGAAAAAAGGTACAAAGCAGTGAAAATCATTAATAGGCAACCGTTCGATGGGCCGAATTGCACAAAACGCATGATCGCACCAGCTAGTTTGGTACGCGTTGCTATTTATTATATGTATTTACGATGTCGTCAGTTCAGTTACTTCCCTTCCCATTTTTATGCGTTTTTGCTGTGCAGCGCTATAGCAGTGCTAAAGCGCTGCTACAGCCAGCAAAAACGCATACTGTCGAGAGGCTGTCTGTGTGTGTGTGCGTGCGTGTGTGTGTGTTCGCAAAGCGAGTGCATTTTGTCACCCACTTTCAACTCGACAACCAGGAAAGATTGGGGTTGAAACTTCGGATATATGTTACTACCCAGTGTGTCATCCTCCCGTTTTGGGATCTCCCCCCATACGCGCCTAAACCCCGTGCACGAGACCCCCAAAGGAATTTGTTGGCGAAAAACCATTTC